CTGATGCTACAACCCTATCCCCCCAAGTTCCTGAAACCTCTTCCTCAAGCAACTACCCATCCACGAAGAAAGTAATTTTCTATTCCTCCAGAAGGGCGCACTTACCAATTCTGTATAAAGATGTTGCATCTTCCCTGCCACTGCTGTCACAGTCACAAGGACATTAAGCAAGGCATCCCTGTAGTACTGTTGTTCCCAGAAAGTATCCAAAGAGCCAACAGATGCTGCCAGCTAATGCTATGTCCAAAGATACAATATTCTAAGTGACTGAAGAAAGTCCCACCATCACCAGGAGCTCTCATTTAGCTTCCTCCTGGTGCTGTCAAATGCCAAGCTGGCCAGGGCCAGAGAGAGATTGAAAAAGATGTCCTTTGATGGTGTGGAGTCTTGGACGGCAAGTAAAATGCCATGGCAACAACCCAAATTGTTTTATTCTAGTGTGTCTATGTCATGTGAAGCACCATAGAGAAATAAAGCAAATTTCAATAGCCATCATAAGATGCATGTGACATGTATGCCTATCCTATTAATGAACATATATACACTACAAAAACTCCACTATATTTCCCTGTGTATCTGTGCTTTGTCCAAAGGATTCTGTGTTTTTATATATAAAATGCACGTCTGTCCCACTCTCAGATAAAGCAATTTCTAATGATGATGGAAAGACACACAGAGCAGCTTAGCTATACTGAAAGTGGTTACCAAAAAAAAAAAAAAATCAGTCATTAGAAATTAGCACACACATTCCAAAAATTTCTTTAAAGTCCCATTTCATATCTATATTGATATATGTATCTCCTCTGAGCTGAAAAATTCTGAGAATGAGGAAAAAAAAGTCATGATAATGAGAAGCACATTTCACAAGCCACCACACACCCAATTGTTTATTCAAAATGAGGAATATTTGTGTAGTGGGAAAATTACATGCAGTCTATGTATTTTACATGTAAATATTTATTATTATTGAAGCCTACACAGAAAGGTCAGCATTTCTGTTTTATAACATGTAAAGCACACTACAAAAACCACCAAACCAGTTTTTCAATATATGACAAGTGCTTCTACAGAATATAAGGTATACTCACTGGTTTATTTAGATGATGTCCTACAGAATCTGCTAGAGTTCCTATAGCATCATAAAGAATGAGCAGGTTTTTATGCTGGTATTTACTAAATGCGAAGACCAAAGTGTCAAGTATATACGCAAGATAAGGTACAAGCTCTGTACAAGCCTCCTCTTCTAGAGTAGCAAAGGCACTGAATGACAAAAAACCCACCCCAAACAGATCAGTCAGTATATTGGAAAAAAACCAAAACAAAACCACCCCAAAACACCCCACACTACCCATTTTTGTTTAAACACAGAACTGTAATTAGTCCTCAAATTCATCCAAGGTATGTTTTCAAAATGGTATTACTGAGATAAACTCAATCTATTTTGATTGAACACAAAGATTCAGCTCTTACATCGTGATGAGCAAAATTTAAAAATATTCCTAATCTAGATCTAATTCTGCTTTATGAAGAAACTTTCTTGGCAGTCTGCTGTGTACACTCCTGCCCCACGCAAACTGACATGTAAAAGCTTTATTTGCCGAGTTTCCTGCACAAGAAATGTACCCAATGGTGTGTCCGTTATTATTATTTTTTTTTAATATTAGCAGACAAGGGGGAGAAGGGAATCTTACCTCCAAGGATCTCCTTTCAAGAGAAAGGGAATATCCCTTGAAATAACTGTAACCCAAATGTTTTGGTAATCCTGAGCTAAACATAAAAAACATCACTAATGCAATGATTGGATAGTTTTCCTTTGTCGTCAGTATTGACCTTGTTCATAGGCATATAAAAGCCAGATTTCTGATCAATGAAACTTCAAATAATGAAAATAAACAGTTGTTACATAAAGATAACGTCTTTTACTGCAATAGATTGTTTAGTTTGGTGATTTATATACTCTGAAAACAAACTGGACAAGAGAAATACAAATTAACTTTTTTCATTTTATTACAACTCTCAGGAATTTGTGACTACTTCAGAAGAAGCTGAACCTACTCCAATTTAAAAGGAAAAAAAATAAAATACATTAAGAGCTAGAAATGGAGTCATGCATTCATCAATAAAGGCATTAAAATAGTTTCCCATGAAAAAGCAGTGTCATGGACAGTCCTTTTTGTTTAAGCTTTGGCTCACCTGCAGGCAGCTTCTTGTACTCTCTTGTTGCTATCCAGAATACGTTTTAGCAACTCAGTCATTAATGGCTTCAAGTATGTGTCTGGGGGTTGACTAACTACCCAGTGTGCATAGCGACTAAGAGTCCAGCATGTAATGGAGCGCACAAGAGCCTTTTTGTTAGAGAGGCACTGAATAAGGTGAGGGATCAGCTCAGGAAGATATGGAATCATACCCTGCATGCAGCCTAGAAGGAAAAATATAGCTATTACAGTACAAGAAGTAGAAAACGTAATAGAATTTTTTGTTATTTCCTAGAAGGGACATATTTTCATCCTCTATCATGTAGTAAAATTTTTTAACAAAATACAAAGCAAGTCTACCTAATTTATGTTAAGTCCTAAAAAGAAACCTCACCATAAACAATAATTAAAATCCCCAATAAAATTTACATTCATTTCAACTACATTTCTAGTTCAGTGCTTCCCTGATCCCCAGAAATTCTGCTTTATTAAATGGAGTATAGCAAGAACATCCAAATAAAATTAGTTTATTGTCATGGTTTAACCCCAGCCAGCAACTAAGCACCACACAGCCGCTCGCTCACTCCCTCCTGGTGGGATGGGGGAGAGAATG